AGTTTGAAAAGCATACTATTCGTGACACTGCCCTTGTAAAATAGGTCCCGGGATCCCACCGAGGTGGCCCGTTTTCCCGGCAGGATCCCTGCTGGGGAAAAAAATACCCGCAGTGTATCTCAGCAAGAATCCCATGGAGAAATCTGTACTGACAGGATCCCGCCAAGAAAAAATCCCCCCCCCCGGGATGCAGGCAAGAATCCTGCCAGGAAGCAAAATCTTGGTGGTATTCCCGGCGACAACTAAATTCTTGCCGAGAAAAATATCTTGCAAAGAAATTCCTGCCGAGAAGTGGCACATTCTCGTGGCCAAAATGCAAATCCCGGCAAGGATGCGTTAAGCCTGATCTTGAGATCTTGACCCTGGAAGCAAGTGCTGCTCTAAAACAATCGTGAGCCATATCTAGATAAAGTTTTAATACTTACTACGACTCAATCTTACAGTTCAGCATGTCGAAAGCAAGCCATAAAGACGAAATCCCACACGTGTTTTATCTATAAACATGCCAGTCACATCTAGACAAACTGGAGCTTTTAATGGCGACTACTAGCCTACTGCTCTAAAAAGATCTTTGTTAACTTTTGTGTGGGTAGCTTCTTTGTTTTGAAATTTCTGCATGATTTTAATTTTAGAAGTCCATAGATAGGATTACCTCTCTGCTCTCAGCATTCCAGTGACCATCACTCAGTGATGATCTTCCGATGGCAAACTCTGGAAATTGCCTGTAATATAAACACTCATTTGGCCTTGAAAATTTTCTTTGTGACAGCATTTGGCAAATCTCTTTAGTGGAGATCTTCTCGTAAACTTGCCAGGGGAATCTTCCTACCAAGGTCGTTAACCCAGCAATACAACTGGCTGACTAAAATCATGTGTGACATAGCACACGCCATCCTGCGAGTAGGAGGGAAAGCCTTTGAGAAAGTTTGAGGGCTTCTTCGAGTGCTCTTAAAAAATCCACATCAGAAAAGAGCTGAAAATTGTTTGTTTGCCTGGTTTGTTTACTTCAAGGCTTCAGCAACGACCTTTCTGCAGGGAAAAGCTGTTTTGTTGAAGTTGTTATAAATTACGTGATTGCTTGTGTGAGAAATTTCACGAAGACTTCTTCAAGCTAGCCTCAATGGAACTGTGTATGTATATCTCTTTTCGGCTTAAAGTGTCTCATTTCAATTTTTGTACACCAGCTAGGGTGTTTTAAACAACTGTGACTAAATTTTCTGTTAGTTAATTAATTAAATCATGTTGTCTAGAGTAGAGTCATTTATCAGTCTGTTTTCCTCGCTATCCAGCTGTTTGTAAACTTCAAACTTTGCACCATGAATTTTGCCAGAATTTCTAGTTCTTAAATCATTGCCACCATTTTTCTCTCATTGACATTTTTAAAACGTATTCAAGTGGTATTAATTCTAACTGCCATATGACTATATGTATACTTAAGTTGTTACTTACTTACATTTTTAATTAATTAAGTTAGTTTTGTCTGTATTTTAACTACTATCAAGCACACAAACACTGGGAAGTTTTAACCTTTATATGAAACACAATGGCTCCAAAAGAAATTTGTGGCAGGATGTCCAAAATTTTGCTGAGATTCCCACAGTGAATCTCGCCAAGAATTTCGCTTCCCACCGCAAATCTTGGCGAGATTCCCAGCAAGATCACGCCAAGATTTTGGCTGCCGTTAATTTTCTTCTCAGCGAGAGTCTTGGCAAGATTTGCAGTAGGATTCTGGCGAGATTTTGGCCACCGGGATTTTGGCTTCCCGGCGAGAATCTTGGTGAGATTTGCGGCAGCTGGCGAGATTTTAGCCACCAGGAATTTCACTTCCCAGAGAGAATCTTGCCAGGATCCCGGCGGGAATCAAAATCCCAGCGGCCAAAATCTCACCAGGATATTGGTGGGATTCCCGCCAAGATTGCGGCTGGATTCCGCCAAAATCCCAGTCCTTATTTTAAAAGGGACTGTCCCTTTCACACTCGCTTAATAAGACAGGGAGTAATGCAACCTTCCTTGAGTGAGTTGGAAGCGTAAAAGGATTTGGAAAGGGAGGGAAGAGAAATGAGAAGTGTGGCAGCAAATTAATTGAGTTCATTAGTGTGTTTGAATAGACTTTTGCTGTGTTACGTAATTCATTTGTGTCAGATTTGTTATCATACGTGTTTCGCTAATATTAAATCAGAACTTAGCACTTTTTTGCTTGCTCAAAAAAGTTGAATTTTAATCCTCCGCTTGTACGGTAGAGATCATTTCTTTCTCTTTTGGACATTTTTGAATATCAAGGACACCACTACTTGGACTACTGTAGATCCATAGTCAAGGCATGGACATTTGGACTGTTGTAGATTCATTGTCGAGGCATTGTTTTAAAGTTTAGTTTGTGCAATTGAATTGTGTCTAATAGTAAGAATAAATGTTTATCTGGTTAACATTTGATGGTAGCAAAAGTTGGTTTGACCAAAATATGATACGAATCGAAGATCTCCTTTAAGAGGACAGTAAATTCCTGTCCTTTACAAACTTTTGTTATAAGTTTAAGCTCAAACACCCTTCACCCTCTACTTCGGTCTTCTTAATTCTATATCAACTTCTTGGAATTTAGTATCTGAAAATCCTCCTTTGCAATGCCCACAAAGTGAGGAAAAAGAAGAAATCATTTCCACCAAA